AAAAAGCTACGCGACGAGCTCTTTGCGGCGATCCCCAATGTCGACCAAATCATCCCCCTTGCACAGCTCGAGAGCCTGCCGTACCTGCGCGCCGTTGTCAAGGAGGCCCTGCGCCACGGCGTCGGTACAAGCAGCCGCCTGTCCCGCATCGCGCCCGACGAGTCGTTTGACGTGGCCGATCCCGCCACCGGCAAGTCGTACCATATACCGGCCGGCACCATCGTCAGTATGAGCCCGTACTGCACCATCATGGACGAGACCATCTTCAGCGACCCGCTCGGTTTCCACCCCGAGCGCTGGCTCGCCGAGGACGAGCGGCTGGACGGGTACCTGATCATGTTTGGCGGCGGCACGCGCGTCTGCCTCGGCCAGGCGCTCGCACAGGCCGAGCTGCACCAGATGCTGGCCAAGCTCTTTCGGCGCTGGGGCAGCGCGGGCGTGGTGGGCGGAGACGAGACGGGCGACAGGCGCGAGGGTGACGTGGGTGTGTTTAAGATTTTCGAAACGACGCCAAGAGATTGTCAGATGGCGTCGGATTACTTCATCCCATTGCCTTACAAGGTATGTGGCCGGACCGTGGATCGAGGGCTATGCTAACCGTGTTTTATAGGGTAGCAAGGGTTTGCGTTTTCTTCTGGAAGCAGTTTAATTGGCATAGCGGGGGATCCTTTGAGCGTACAACCATTGAACCCATGAATCCATGGCCCCAGTCACGACTCCGTGCGTATGAGTAGCTCTAGTTATGAATACAGTCTCTATTGGCAAATCTAGCCTGCGAGCTCTCCAGTCGGTCTTGGGCAATCACCAGCAGCAGCGCGTCTCAGGCTCCCATCACACTGGTTCTCCATGGAGGAACCAGTCCGTCCTAATTTTCTTATCCTGGCGCCAAATCGCAACTCAATACTGTGCCTGGCAACCCCGGATCTACTGGTGCCGGGCGCCACTAGCAAGGTCGGTGGATCGGATGGACAAGAAGCGGGGGACCGCCACGCGAAAGAACGCGGCCCAGTTGCCTGGACCTG